TATATATATAAAGAAAACCTTCCAAACACTCATCTTTTAAATAATTATGATAAATTCTACCTCTAAGGTACATGTTAGAGGCTCATAACCTCTAGTTCTGCACGGAAAGCCTTTTTAAGTCTTGAACTTCTACATATAGCATACATGGACCTTTTCGAAAACCAGGCCACGGGAGATACCGCATCTACAACGCTGTGAGAAACAGCACATTGAAGATAGTGATCTGCATGAATATTAACCCTTCAAACAGTTCAAGGTATTACAGGGTACTCCTGCTTAACTGTGCAGCCACCGTTCAGCTAAGGAGATGCTCCACACACACCGTGCCAGGCATCCATCCCAACCCTAAGACCCCCCCGCCACCAGCCCCATCTTCCCATGCTCTCACCTGCTACTCTTAAAGCTACATTAAATGATTGAGGCATGCAAGCGAGAAAAAAAAGCATTAAAAATCAGCTTTCAGTGATGCTAGGGGGACACACTTAATTTGTATTATATTCCACTTTTCACACGACATTCCACCTTCTACTAAAAATAACACTCTCCAGTCCACGACAAAAACGTGCCCTGTCCTGATCCCTACCCCCACATCCCATCGTGACCCCCGAGCATCTCATCGATAGGGGCTAAAATTATTCTGCCAAAGGAGGCTCACCTTCTGAAATTGCATCACGAGTATTTCAGATGAGGAGACGCCACTTGCTGTGCAGCACAAATAGCCGCCCAGCTTCCCTGTTATTTAGAGCCATTCCTACTGCCAGAAGAGCCTTCAGGTCAGGATTGTGCCCAAAACTCATCAAGAAGAAGTGTTGGGAAACCCAAAGAGAAACAGCTATTTTTACAGTAGTCTCTGGGAAAAATAGTGGTGGGGCTGGGGCAGCGGGGAGAAGATACATGGGTGTTTTCCTTCACCTTCTTGTTAATTCACTGACTTTGCCATCACCCATTCTCTGCATTTTCTCAAGTACTTACCATCCACCATAAGTAGCCCAGTGGATGTTTTAATACCCTGTGCCTGTCACAAAACGCAGGAACACGGGGTGACAAAGCAGAACATGCAGTTCAACTATTAAGCTTCGCTTGTATAAAATTCATTAGCTACACCTTGCAGCCCCGGGCAATCCAGGGAGCTGCCAAAGCAGAGTTTCAGCAGCCCTCTGCCCGCTGCCGTCCTGCATTTCACCTGGCCAAACCTTCCCACGTTCACAAGAAAGGGTGCCTGCCGATGCTCCAGCAAGCAGCTCCGATTACGGATTATTTCTGATCCTCATGCTACTGAGAAGGAAAAACTGTGACATCTAGTGCCAATAGGGAAAATGACACATTTTACATGGACGCTGCCGGAGATGAAGGGTAACGTGGGGTGTTGCTGCAGGCACTCCTTACACCCGCTTTCTCCTTGTCCTTGAAGATTACTTGGGTCTTATCAGCGGATGGTGCAGTCCTAGCGCCAGAGGATCACGGTAAATTGTAGTCAAAATACATAAAGCGCTATAGAAAAACATCAGAATGCCCAGCTCAAGAATGACAAGTAATATCTTGAGTTCTCCAACAGGCTGAGGGAATTACCTCTTCACACAAAGATTTCAGCTAATATGCTAATCTTCGGAACAAAGCCATCTTCAATGGGCATTTGAAGAGGGTGTCACTACATCACGGGTCGTGTCTTCAGCAGAGCTGCTGCAACCAACACATTTTTAAATACTGCGCGAGCTGCCGTACGCTTCTGAACTCTAGCCCTGTTCACTTGTTCGCTTTAATGCAATTTCTGACTCTTTCAGAGATTTCCCCATTTTAGCACAGCCACGTAACTACAGAGCAACACCAGAGGCTGAGATGACAGGCGGGACCGAGGTGAGCTGCCAGGGCAAAAGGCTCCCAGAGGACAGCCGTCAGCTCCTCTTACGGTGTCGAACAGGGTGACGTGCTGCATCCTTTCAGACCCATCCCTCCCAACGTTAGCGTAGAAAAGTCCCAATCACACACCTCTACCCCACATGCCCAATTGCCCAATCCAATGAAGAGCTTAGCCAGAAACACCAAAGATTGCGCCACTGGGAAGGAAAAAAAAAAAAAAAAAAAAAAGAAAAAAAAAAAAAGGCTTCCACTTACTTAAAAAAAATTAAATTAGTGGAAACGTTAAAAGTCTTGTGTTAGAATCTAGATACGCATCCAGGCTGTGGTAGGAACTTAAAATTTTCTTCTTGAAGACATTTTAGAGTAAAATGCCTAAGATTACAAACAACTGCAAGTGGATCTTTTTCCTCCCACCTATATAAACTCTGTAATTTCAATGGTCCGTGCCTATCTTAAAGAGTCAGGCTGACCATCCACCTCCGGTGCTTAGTTCTTGATATGCTCACAGTTGTACAATAAATGACACCCCATTTGTCCCAAAGTCTATTTGGTCTTTACTCAGGAGCTTTAGAAGGGAGCTATCGACTGGTGTTTGACTCTGCTGATAAAATACTGTCGTCTTCAGCTCCCTTCTATACCTGCTGGCTCTGAAAATGATTTACAAACTGTTCTCAACTTTTTAGTGGGGCACATTCAGTCTTGTCAAGGGTGTTGGCTTACTGAAATCCTATGGTAGCAGACAGAGCTTATCAGAACAGTCACATGTGAGCAGAGGTGTCAAAGCAGCCAGACTAGTAATAGAGGGGACACACAAAAAAACCCACCTAAAAAAAAAAAAAAGTAACTAGAGACCATAGAGACCAGGACACAGTTCACAAGCTTAACATGAAGGATCCAGGACAGAAACCATCTAGCAGAAAGCTCCAGGCAACATCCAGGATTCTGTCTGCATTCCAAAGAAACAGCGGATGCGCTTCAGGAAGAACTTGGGTTGCACTGAGCGGACGGGAGGTTGGAAAAAGGCCCTGCGTTAGTGATGTCTTCTGTGCCGCAAGAGCGGGCGGTGGGGCCAGCAGCACTGCAAACTCCCCCGCGCGGCCATGACAAAACACAGGATCCTCTGCTTGGAAGGAGCGAGCGCTGCCTAGGAATAAATAGCCAGTTGTATTTTCACGGTCCATTAAGCCCTTGGCTTCTTTGTTGAGACTACTAGCAAAGAGATAATTACTGCCAAATGAGGTGGTGGGCTACGTGAAGTGGTCGCAAGCCAGAGCGGAGAAAAACCTCTTGCATTGTGAAAGTTCTTGAGAATTCCCATTTCACAGATTTTCCTGAAAACATAGACAGGTTAGCCAGGTTAGCCCAGAATGCTGCTTGCAAACTCTGAGAGGACAGGAGAAACTTCAAGCTCCTGCTCTGCCCCGTATTAGAGCAGGGATTGCAACTTCAGTTGTTGACATGCAGCTGAACACGCTGACCACAAGCGTCCTGGATTTTACGCTGGTTTCTCAATTTTGCCTGCTAGCTAAAAAAATTAGGGCACTTGGCTCAGCTGAATGCTTTAAGAGGAAGAGC